TGCAACCCCTTGCCTGGAAATGACTTTGTGGCCAGTGAGTCATGGGACATCACTCACATGGTGCAAAGAGAAGAATTAAATTGCTTCTCCATTGGGCTCCCCTCACTCCTCCTTCAGAACATACCTGAAATCTACTCCCACTATCCTGGCTTTTTTGTGACTCTTCCACTTGAGCTGTCTTCCTCCATAGCTGCATGTGTATCCAACACACCCTTTAGGAGCCAAAGGCCACCTCCTCCTGGGAGCCTTCTCTGGTTTCTCTTGATCCCTTGGTCTGCTTAACAATTTAATTCATTTGTCTCTCTCCAATAACATCTGTTACCTTCTCCTTGTGTTATCTTTATGTGATTGTAGGAGGGTCTCTGTGACATGGCTGTGTCTGATGTCTTCCATCCAGGCTCTCTTCCTTGCCCCAAGTTGCGTGTCTTCTTTCCACATTACAAATGCGTGTGTGCTCAGAAAACAGCACCATATGCAAATTTCTTTGTCTTTACTCCCACAGTGGCAGACTCTCCTCCCCCAGCTTTGTACAAGGGTTTGCACACTGTAGGCATTAAAAGAAATTAATTTAAATTATTAATGGTTTGAGTCTCTATTGTGTCCTAGGCTCCATGCTGGGTATGGGGACACAGAGGATGGATCTGACAATGAAAATACCATGTGATGCGTGCTACGATATGTGTGTGGGACAGAGCTTTAAGCTGTACCTAGAAGGACAGAGAGGCTGTGAACAGGCAAAAACAAACAAACAAATAAACAAACAAAAAAAACAGGGTTGGGGGAGAGGGAATAAATAGCACGGACAAAGCCTTGAAGTATCCCAGCTTGTCCAGAGCCTGGATCCAGGCATCAGAGAGAGAAGAGCTTGGGGACAAGACATGAAGCTGGTAAGCTGGGAGGATCTGCTCAGAACCTCTTAAAGGCTAAGATTTAGATCTTCATGCTCAGCTGCAGAAGACAGGGATCAGACTGCCTGAGTTCCCATCCCACCTTCCCCGCTTGCCAGTTGGGAGCTCAGGAAATCTTTCAAAATCTTGGCTTTCTCATCTGTAAGTAGAGATAGCAGGCCTCCCATAAAAGGTGACACTTAGCAAGGGGCGCACTTGGCTAGGGGAAGGTTGGTGAGATGCAAAATACTAGGGAATTCCAAAAGAACCTCAGTATGCAATGAAGTTTTACATTTAAGGGGGTGCCAAAAATCCTAACTAATCGAGATACATAATATTTTAACGCAATACTCTAAAATTGTCAAAATTAAAGCAAGAAAGTCCTCACTTTTGAACAAAATATCAAAAAAAAAAAAAAAAAAAGTAAAAGCATCATAAGTGAGGACGAGATCCGCCTAGCACAAAGCATGCAGCTCAAAAAATGTCAGCTATGACTGGACTGGGAATTCTCAGCCTTCCAGAGCCGTGGGCTTCTGAAAACCTGAGGAAAACCCGTGGCCCCCTTCGCCCAGAAGAATGCCTAAACATGCACAGTTTGTAAAGTTTTGGGGTGTTCTTGCACTCTCTAGGTCTCATCCATGGGGAGGTTAAGAACTCTGGTTCAAGGTGGAGGTGATTCCTCACGCCATCCAGCTGCCTGTGGGTTCCCCAGCACCACGCGGGGCCTCCCTCCTGGCAACTGTGGGTGCTCTGCCCCCTGCAGGAAGCAAAGCACAGCTATGCAGCTTTTTTCTTTCTTGCTTGGCTACCCCCCCGCCCCCACCTCCTCACCCCGGCCCCGTTTCAGCTTGGGACTTTTCCTAAAGTTTGCTGAAACCAGACACCTTGCTCCACTGAGCCCGCGTGCAGCCACAGTTTAAAAGGCCGCCTTCAGCGCCCCCTCCCCGCCCCCAGCGGAGACTTCAAAAGGCCCGGCGGGCGCCGCGGCCCCAGCACCTATGAGCCGCCCCCCGCACCCGGAGCCTGCGCGGGAGTCAGAGGACGCAGAGCGGCCGAAGTTCGAGCGCAGGCGGACCGGGCCGGAGGCGCAGCCCCGCGCGCTCATGCCCCTCCCGGTGCCGCTGCGCTCCGAGCGCCCGCGCCCAGTTTAGGGAAGGGGACTCAGCACCCCCGCCCCCGCGCCCGCGCCCGGGGCTGCGGGGACCCATGAATACAAATGCCGTTAGGCGCCCGAGGAAGGACCGACCGTCCAGCCTCGCACCTAGGGACCCAGTAAGTGCCCCGGAGCTCCTGAAGCACTGGGGATACCAGTGTGTGTGCGTAAAGGTGCGCGGGTATGGGGAGGAGGGTGCACATGCAGGGAGTGAGTACGGTTAGTGCCCGCGTACTAGTGGAGAATTGTGTGTAAGTGGGGGTGTGTGCACATGTGAGTGCGTGTACTTGGGGGTGTGTACATAGGGGTGTGCACGTGAAGGTGGTATGAGAGGTGTGCGCGTGGGTGTGTACGTTGGGGGGACCTGGCTAGGCTAGGCTAGTGTGCATTTGTGCGCGTGTAAGCACTAGTGTGCCTGTGTCTGCGTGTATGGAGTCCAGTGCGCTACCAAGTCCAGACACCCTAGGGTGTGTGTTTGTATGAACCCAGGAGGAGTGCGTGGCTGTGCTTGCATGTGAATGAGTGGGAGCCTGTGTCTGAGTTTGGGGTATGTGTGCATATGTGTGGGAGTGTGTGTGTGCACCAGTGAACAAGTTGTGGAGGCTGAGGCGGAGGGGGGCTTCTAATGCCAACTGGGGTTGTGGGTGTGCTAGTTTGCTGGGTGTTTGCAGCTGGTCAAAGTGTGCAGTTCTGTGCTCCAGTGTGGGATCTCAGAGTCTCTTTGGTCGACTCTTGCGGGGGTGAAGGTGGGGGTTGTTAAGCTCCCATTTCCTGCGGAATGGAGAGGGCAAAGTGAGGAGGGTGCCCAATATTTCACACGCTTCCCCTCCCCACCCCACTACGTGCCCAGAGTCTGTTCTTAAGGGCACTCTGAATCTAGGAGGAAAATAGGTACTGTGTGTGTGTGTGTGTGTGTGTGTGTGTGTGTGTGTGTGTGTGTGTGTGTTTGTGTGTGGTAGGACACTGGTTGTCGTTGTCTTGGGAGTCTGGACACTGATCCTGGTCCCAGATCTGTCCTGGAATTCCGGGCTCCTTTCAGCGGTAGCATCTGTCCCCTTTCCCCTTATCTCCGCCTCCCAACTTGGGGACCTCGTAAGCCAGAAGTCTCGAATCTCCAAACTGTGATCATCCCGCTATGCTGCCTAGGCCAACTCGTTCCTCTCCGTAAATCTCAATTTCCCATTTTCACAGTGGTGGGGCACTAGTGTATCAGCAGGGTTGTCGAGGGCAGGCCGAGTATGTGTCCCCGGCTGTGGCCGGCAGGGGGCAGCCGGGGGCAGCAGAGGGCGGCCCAGCGCGGGGAGGAGAGAAGGTGGAGAGCCGCCGCGGGCCGAGACTTTAAATCGCCTTCATTTCCCCCAAATCCTTCCTTTTCCTCTCCTCCCCCAGGCCGGCGGGGAGGCAGCTTCCACCGCCCTCCGCGCGCCCTTGCCCGGCCTCGCTCTGTCTCCGGGGACCGCCAGCAGCCCGCCTCCAAAAGTTTGATCATCTCTCTTTTTTTTCCTGCTTCTTCTTTTCGGTGGAAGCAGAAAAAGAGCGAGGCAGGGGCGAGCGCGGCGCCGGGACTCCTGGGACCATGGGCCTGGCACAGGCGCCCGCGGGGCCCCAGCCGCCCTGCCTG